GTGGTTTTGAATCGCATGCAGTCCCGGGGACAGGCAGGCCTGTTTATATGCAGGCCTGGAGCCGCAGAGACAGCGCAGAGACAGATGCATGTCAGAGATAGCAGATCCCATCGCAGGCAGATGCCTCTTATCGCAGCCATGTTTGCATAATTAGGCCTTTTGATATTCAGCCCCTCTGACTGACAAAAAGTATAATTGCAGCATCAACTACGACAAAAGGTAGGCACAAAATAAACAAGTCAACATAAATAGGGAGAAAAGACGCGGTGTTATTTTTGTCCTGTGGGAAAAAAAGAGGGAGGAAAAAAAGCAGCATTTTGAACTAAATCTGCTGTCAGTCACAGTCAACTGGTGTGACTTGCCGCTCACAGGCTGGTCCTGTGAATGCCTGCAAAACACTGAGCGTGAGGCCTGATTGTAATTATGCTGGAACTAATATGCTTTTCAAAATGAGCCATTATGAGCTAATGCTGCACTGCCAAAGCCCTGTCTGTTTTTGTCCCTCTGTCTCGGATAGTTTGCAAAGGTATGGCTGATATTGAGGCCATGGGTTATGATGTCACAGACAGACTGACTGCCTAGCGTAATGCTAATACTGCTCACAGGTGAGCTACAGATACCTGGCACCTGCAATATTGCAGATGGATGCTTTGATAAAAATTATTTTAACATGTTTTAAATGAATTTTATTTGCACCAAAAAGGAGTTTATTTTATATTCATTGTTAGTGTGTGCAGTGAGTTATGCAGTTACCCCCTTCGCTTTTGTTGTTTTATCGTGGTTTTCCAACGTTCCCCCCCCCCCCCCCCCAATTTTACACATCTCAGTCAAGGCACACATCTTTTCAAGTTTGTATTCTTTAATTTTCCTATTGATAGAGAACAAGCTTTTCACCATCTTCATTTTATTGAGCTTGTAAAGGACGTTGTTTTTAAAAATGGATAAAACACAATTTCAAGCATTTTTTATATTATATTTACCATATTTATTGTGTCTTCATTCACAACCTCCTAAAGACTCAGATGCACATATTTTTAAAGAGAGTTTTCAACAACATAGCTGGAAGAACTCTTTCTCTGTTGTTACTTATCATTAATGTGTAACCTCACAGATCACTTGGTTAATTGGTGGTAATAGGTGGACAGCGTCAGCCCCCCCCCCCCCCCCCAGACGCCTCAGCGTCTGGGGGGGGGGGGGGGGCGGTTAAGGTGGACGACCAGGGAAGTCCGAGAAGGGGAGAGGTTGGATGAGTAGGTGGGGAAAGGCTTGAGATGGGTGTAGGAGAGGTTTTCAGGACTGGTAATGACGATCACATCTGTCTGCAGTCTGAGAGGTCAACAGAGGAGCTTCAGAGGAGAGAACCTCCTTAAACCTCAGTGTGACCTTCAAACTATTAACTCGCTGCACAAGTCCTTCAAGAGCCCCAACTCTGTTTTATCTAAAAGGTCTGCTCAGTCAAAGCTTCCTTAAAACAGAGTCACACCAGGGTGAAACAAATTCAGCCATCTTTGCCTCTTTAGGGATTATTTGGAGTGTTGAATTACCAACACTTATTAAAACTGGATTGACCTAAAGTTAGTCAGTTTTTGTAAAAAATTTAATACAACCATTTTCACTTTCCCAATCAAAACCTTACTTCTTAGTGTGCTGATGCAGACTATTCTCCCACAATGCATTGCGCACAGGCCACAAATGAGCTTCTCATAATTGGGAACAAAAAGTGAGTTTCAATGCAGCATTCCTGGATACATTTAAAAAACACAAACTGAAAATCTGTATTAATTCAAAGCAGAAAACCAAAACCTGAAGAAGTTATCAGGTGGTCACTCAGCACCTGAAATGTATCATCTCCTGTTAGCATAAAATGATGACGGATCTCTACACCAGCTACAAAACAGTGGACGACAGTATAAAAATATTTTCTATAAATTTGGAAAAACTCTGACCTTTTGGTACAGATTGACTACCACGCATGTCATTATACAAGTCTTAAAAATACCAGGAATCTCAGATATTTCTTGAAACTTTGATATATTTAATATAGAATAATACAGAAATGCCTGAAAACCAACCAAATATGGCCGCCTCACATAGTCTTATGTCTATGGATCACTATGATAAAAGTTATAGGCCTATCTCATGAAAATTGGGCTATGCTGTCAATGCTTTGTCATATTTTACACTAACATAAATCTTTAACCACACAACTGTCTTCTTGACTTGCTCAATCCTTACCTTCTCTAAAATAACATAAAAAGCATTAGGATCTGTTTTGACCTCTGAAAGTGATCACCTTTGTTCAGGTTTTATAAATTACATGTAGAACAGCTGTTTTATCTGTTAGTTGTTGAGTTCCTTCAATACAATCTCCTTCAACAATTTGAACCTCTTAACAGTCTCTAATAAGTCCTGCCATTCATTACATTTCAGGTTAAAGCTTTTATTCAAACCATACCAGTGTTATTTCCAACCTTAATGAAGCACTTACTCAGATAAAGCAATGTGTAAACCTGATTAATTCCTATTTCTACTGGGCATATTTTAAATCAATATGAGGCAGAGACCTTAGAGGGCCCCTGGAGGGGAGTACACACAGTAAGCGTGCCCACTGGATGGCACATAATTACATTGTAATTGGACAATAAGTAATGAGACAAGGCATGAGTGCTTTATCAATATCCCCCTGAACCTGTGAAAGGAATTACTGCAGTCGTATTATTCAAAGGTCTAATCAGAACGTACCTTTTTGTGACTAGCGGACCATTAAGGAATTGACCTCAGCAGCCCTGCAGGGATTTTGTTTTCATTGGGTGTTATTATGTCTCAGATTGTTAACATTTGCACACGTGTGTCGGGAGGAAAGAGACATGAAATGAAGATGTGAAAGAGTTTTTTGTCCAGAAAACAGACCGGAAAAATGGTTGTTTTCAGGCTAAAATCTTTTTTTTGTAAAAGTATTTATGCTAACCAGACATCAGCGTCAGGCTCTTTCCTGCATCAACAAGGAGAGCAGCCATGTGTTTCAATATATTTCCTACTCGCCGAATGTTGTCAGCATATAGATGAGTTTTACGTCCAATCCGCAGTCCCAGTTGGCCTCGCACAGCGTGTGCCATTTCCCATTTTGCTTCACTCATTACAGGAAGGGTTGTTGACCTTGTGCTTGTGGTTCATGTACAAGAGCAGATGTGTTGCCTCTGTGGGGCTTAAAGGAGGGAAGCGGTACAAGCTATTGTCTGCTGTGGTTTATCAGTCATTAGCCTGATAGCATGCTAAATGTGACACAGATTGCTAGGGAGGTTTACTTGCAACCCAAAGACTGTGAAACAAAGAGGAGGAAGTATAAGTGTCTTTCTCAGAGCCCCTTGAGTATGTATTTCTCGACCGTGGCCCCCTCGTCTCCCCGTAGGACACAGGGGTGACTTTGGAAAGTGATCTGGACCGGTCTCAAGTGTCGTCACGGTGAGTTAGCGGGCAAATGGATCTACGCATCCTCATGAAAACCAACAAAGGGATATGTGGCGTATGTACATATCCAACTTTGTATGTTCAAGGGTGTTTCTGCAGCCGAGTGAGTCTGCGCTTCAAGAATCAATCTTTATTAAAAAGGATAAGACTGAAGAATTGATTTAATGAATGCGGCCTCATGTCCTGCGGCCACGTGTAATCCGCAGAGAATCATCGAGCACAAGCTCAGGGGGGACAAAAAAAATGTTCGTAGAAGACTGCTGGAGTGGCCTGTAATGATAGTCTCCATATAATCCCATAATTCCTTGTTTAATTAAACTCTGGAGCTGGCCTTGAGACTCCGCCAGCTCTGTTGCTCTTTTGTTCTCACAGTTGTTATTTGGAGGCTAGCTTTGAGTATCCTTTTGTCCACTTATATTGAAAGATGTGACTGGAGTGGAGCTATAAACAGAGATCGGAGCCGTAAAAAAAACAAAGAATTAGACACTGTAACTCACCCAGGCGAGACATTCAGGTGAGCGCCATAGTTTTTTTCTTTGGAGATGAATAGCAAAAAGGCCTCTGTCAGAAGCAGAAATCTCTTCATGCACCCTCTTCTTCTTCAATATCTCCCTTTATTTTCCCTCTACCCACACTTTTCTGGACTGAGCATGATGCAATCCAACAAGGCCTGGAGCAACACTGGCACATCATGCCGCCTTGTCAATGTCTCAATGAGGGAAATTATGAGAATATGAATTTTATGACACGGAATGAAAAGGGCCATGTAGTTTGAATAGACGTGCAGAGGAGGTGAAAATGATGCAATTTTCTAAATTCAGTTATAATGGTAATGTGCACTGGTAATGCGTATTTGCTGTCAAAAATTTCCCTGTCGGCCTGGATTGTGCAGCTTTGTGCTGTATCTGTGTTCCTCGAGCGAAAATTCATCTTAGTTGAATGCTTAAAAGTAATGTAAAATATGTTCTAATTCATTTAATGACAGCAGATGGAAACACACGGGACTGAATGGTTTCGCTGCGATATTGTGTTCTATTTTGTACACTCTGGCGGTGCTGTGTACGAGCAGTGTGCCCTGGGCCAATGAGAGAGAAAAGCAGGGTGAGGAGCAGCAAGGTGGCCTGTGCAGATTAACCCCTCTACCCACCGACGCCCCCGCTCCCCCTCAGCCCTCTGCCTCCACAGCCTCTGGGGCCCCTCACACAGGCAGGATTGTGTATCAAGGCCTCTTCTATATTAAATAAATATCCACAGATTAAGATAATATTCTCCCAGTTGTATGTTTTGAAAGGAGATGCTGTCATTTGAATCCTCTGTGTTGCCAGTCTCGCTCTCTTTGAGCAACAAAAGAGCCTCAGAAATGCAGATAATGCTGTTAGAGCTACTTCTCTTACACTTCCAGCCAGCGTTTTATGTTGTATTTTAACAACAACAAATAAAACCCTCCTATGAAATCACTCAAAAGAACTCGTATTCTTGTTTTAATTCCATGATCACACAGATGGCCTTCTGTCTTTTTCCTCTCACCTCAGGTAACCGCACAGACGAAGGTTCAGATGTGGACTCGGAGCCTGACCTGCCCCTGAAGAGGAAGCAAAGACGCAGCCGCACTACCTTCACAGCCGAGCAGCTGGAGGAGTTGGAGAAGGCCTTTGAGAGGACACATTACCCCGACATCTACACCCGAGAGGAGCTTGCTCAGAGGACCAAACTCACAGAGGCCAGAGTGCAGGTTAGACATACTACGTCACTATGAGAGAAAACATTGGGAAGTGTAGAAAACATGACAGATCACCAAAAATACAAAGACAGACACACAAAACAGAGTTTTGTGTAACAAGGGTAATCCTTCGAAGAGATTTCTGCTTCCAGGCTATCACAAACAGAGAAAATTGTACTCAAAAACACCATAATCTATATTCAGGAACAATGCCCAGGAAAAAAAACAATGTCTTACTTTTAATCTATACTTTTAGTCTTAGCAATGTGCGTTTGATCATCCATTTTTTCCGGAAAGATGCCATAAGCATCTGAAATACCTGTCTTTGTTTTGGGATGGTGGCAAACAATTCCCATTACAAACCTCAAACTACACCGTCTTACAGAAGTATTCAAGACCCCTGGACAGTTTATAGTGTCATAACCTGGAGTTTAAATCCCCTCATTTGGGATTTTTAACCTGAAGGCTGTTGGTTTAAACTGATCTGAGACAGAAGTTTCCCTGCCAATCAATCAAAGCTGATATCGGCCTAATGTACTGTAAATAGTTCAATTTAATATCCTCTCCTCAATTAAAAATATAGGACATTTTTAGGTTGTGCCATCGCGTACAACCCCAAATGCATCCCGTTGAATTAGCAGTTTAACATAAAAAGATTTGTGAACGTTCACTTAGTAAGTTATACATAGTATTGTATCTGCATATCAATAGCTAAATCATACATATGTTTTTAAATTATAATACGTAGCCTATACATATTGTATATATTTGCTTTAACAGTAGCCTAGCAGAAAATGACTAATTAAAAAGTCCACCTGTAAAAAGAAAGAAAAATGCAGAGCTATGTTTCATCTTGTGCAGGCCTCAGTGTTTTGTGCAGCCTGTTCAGTAAATACCTTTATTCCCATAAAAACAACAAAAGACTCTCACTCTTCACCCAGTTCTAAAGGTGTTCCAGTTAAAAATGTCATAACATTGCACTTTTGATTGTCTGATCTGTAAAGATGAGCTTGGCTCTGTGCTTGTTGGGAAATTTGCTGCTCACCATGAACCTCAGTGTCCAGGATGCCTGACAGAGAAACTCCTCATGTTCACACCTCAGTCTGAGGAAACTGCATGACAGTGTGGGTGCTGTGGGTGTTGCATGTCAGATTGAAGGCAGATATGTACAGTAGAGTTATAGCAGCAGCTGTTCTTCCAAAGACGGAGAGAGGGAGATAGGGAGAGAGGGAATGCATTCCTGATGGATTTCTCATTTCGGCCTTTGGCCAGGATCTCTTCCCATCACTTTCAAGCTCGCCGCTGCTTGTAAAACCCTCCACATATCACACAGGGCTCCTCATCCTCTCCGGGGACCCTCTGCCCCGACAACAACATTAATCAATCAGGCGCTAGTAAAAAAAAAAAAAAAGGGGGGAGGGAGGGGTCTGGGGCACCCCTCTCCTCTTACCACAGTGGTTTACACTCCCACTGAACCCCACAAACCTCCTCACTGCATGCTAACTGCTCATCACACTGCAAACAGAACTAATTCCACACATGTCTTTGTCCATCTTCAAACCCCCCAACATGCAGGGATGTCCCACATGTCTGCATGTGTAATGCCTCACTCAAGGGAGGAGACGTTTATGTCATGGATATGATAAGACAATATGTTAGATACTGCACTTGAGAATTTATGAGATGAATGTGGATGAGGGGTGAATTAACAGAAAATGTAAAAACATAAAAGTTTTGTGAAGATTTTGACGCTAATATTCCAAACATTGGAATGAGGAGAAATCAAGCAATATGACTACACAAACTGAATTTCTGCTTTCACCTTAAAGCTCATAATGAATGAATTGTTCAAATGTGTAAATTGAGTGAATTTAAAAGTCATCATGCACGACTGCAGTTCCTCAGGTTTTATAAGTTCCTGTGTATTTAAAGGATACTGAAGAAAATAACATGAAAGAGAAACAGAGTGACTGCTGTGTCTCTGCAGTTAGATCGTGGACTTAAATGATGTCATGTGAAAACCTGAGGAATTTTAGTCATGGCTATAATTTGTTAATGCTGTTTTCCTCTTAATCTAATTTTTAGAGGCTTTGAAGGACTCCAAAGGTCAACTCAAACTTAATTTTCTCAGAACGTTAAGAAAGAGGCTCTGGTAGCCAAAATAAATAATGGTAAAAGATGCGCTGCACGTTGGTGAGCATGTTTGAAGAAAGAAATGAGTCCATACATATGACTTTGTAATGAGATGAATGTTGGCATAAAAGCATTTCAAAGGAATCACTGTCCTTTAACAGACTCTGAATAACTTCAGCAACATTTCACCCCTTTTGAAGAACCAGACAATTAAGATGGATTAAATCTGTTAGAAGTTAGTTGAACTGTGGCTGCTGTCTGTCTCTAAATGTCCAGCAGCTGGGTGTTCACATATAGGTGCTTAAAAGGCCGATCACAGGGCAGCAGAAAAGGAGACCCTTTGGCCTGAGAGCAGAGCTTCTTCTGCACAGCTGCAGTGACGCATCTTCCAGATGTCGCTCACAGACTCACTGCTGTTTGGAGCTGAGAAAGAAACTACGTGCAAAGGGTATTGCTGCTCCTAAAGACTCATATTTTATCTTCGAATGAGTGGCCACGGTCATGGTTCACTGCTGTGCGTTTGTCATTAAACGCGGTGATAATGTGGAGCGCAGTGCAGAGGTAAACTGGTGCAAAACACGCAGCACCAAAGCCCTGCTGTAAATTAAACCGTGAGTGTTTGGCTTAGCACTGACTCACAACCTAAACTCATAAACACGGCCAACTCCCTTGTGTTTGCCTTCGCCTGCCATTTCAAGACCCCTTCACCATCCATCTTTATCAGCAGAGCGAGCTACCAGCGCTCCTTCAACCACCACAGCCAGCCCCGCGATGGTTTTATCACCCCGACTGACAAATTGTAGGATATGATCCGTATCTCTCAGCAATTAGTTCCAGGCTGTCTCGGTGGGAGGGGATGCTGCCAAGTCCACCTCCAGTTTGTACTGTCACTTTTCATCTGATAACCCCCCAGTTTTAACTGGAGAAGGCAGAAAAGTCACTCCATGAGCTGTTAGAGAGGAAAGCATCGTTTGAGTTCTTGTTGACAATGTGGAAAGACGGAAGGAGGTAGAGTTGTTCGAATACAATACTAGCATCAGAAAAAGTCTGTGGTACTGACAAAAATGCCGAATATCTCAGGGTTCGAGTTATGACTGATCGTCAAACTAGATAAAAAAAGAGAGTCATTCCTTAACTAAGCCGATATAACTAAATTCATAGCAATCAAAGAGCATGCATTCAGGGTTAGTAGTATACAGCTCAATTATTTAAGTCTGGAGGTGGTATCTAATCAGTGCTCACTCATACAAAAACTCAGGTATAAGTTTTGTGAAGTAAAAAAAAAAAAAAAACTTATTGGAACTCCACAAAAGAAGGAGCTTCAGGCCGCTTTAAGTCAGCACACAAAGATGAGGCAAATACATTTTCTCCTTCCATCAGACTGAAGTTTTTAAGAGTTTCTCCTGAGTCTCTCTACTGAGGCTCATCATCGCAGCACGCCGCCTCCAGCCCACTTTACCCACTCTGTCACATAGATCCCCTTTCATTACCAATAAACATCCTGCATGCCGCTATTTTACCGACTGGAATCTAATAAGGTATAAGCATTGCTTTTTTTACGAAGCGTGCAAATCAATTTGGTAAAAAGTTTCTATCTTTATCTGAGGCTTGTGCTGGCCTGTTGAAGCATGGAATCAACACAGCCAAAGACCTATGGAGACATGTTTTCATAGGGTTTTTTTTCTCACTGTACAGGCACATTCACACTCCTGCTAGTGCCGTTTAGACAAGTTTTCAACATAGAAAGTGGAAATATAATCCTATAGGGGAGGTACCAAGAGGTAACACAGCTTCTTGATTATTATAATATCAGTCGAGTACCAGAGGCAAGAGACGAAAATCACAATGGAGTCGAGTGGAGACAACCAAAACCCAACAGGCAGCTGTATTCCCGCCAGTCTGGGTTTACGTCTCATAAAGGCATAAATAGGATTTGTGTAGATTGTAGGGGAGAAATTGTTGCAATGCATCACTGTGGATGTTCTAACAGTTTTCTTATTATTAGAATTTAAATGACTTTGGTACAGTGCTTCTGTACTCCTGATACTTATCGAGCTAATCCCACTCTCCTCTCAAATTCACACTCCTAGCAACTTTAATTAGCATAGTGCCAGTCTGGAAGGCAAGCAGGGAGGGAAGCAGAGAGAGAGAGAGAGAGAAAGAGAGAGGGGGGGAAGAAGAAGAGGGGAAGAAGAGGAGGAGGGCGGGGAGGTGGGGGGGGGGGGTGCATTGCGTGGTATGAGACAGAAGAGGATTTGTAGGTTGAGGCTGGTTGCATCACCCCTCTGTGTGTTTCTTGTGGATATGAAGTCAGCAGCAGCAGCAGCAGCAGCACATTTTGTTTTGTCATTATCTCGCCTCTTGGTATTCATCTACCGAATGTTGCAAATTGGCTCCTGAAAGGCGTCACATATTCACTGCTCGCTCGTCTTTGACAAAATAATTCATGGAGGATTGTCTGAACAGGGGGGGAATTTAGAAATGTGAACGATCCTATTTAAGAGAAACAACAGAAAGTGTTTTTTTTTTTTTTTACTGCAGAGAAGTGACACGTTTATATAGCTGATCAGCGATAAGAAAACGCAAAAAAAAGCTGCTTGATCATTAGGAATTTATTTTGTTGGCTGAGAGTGAAAAGAGATTTAAGACAACAAAACCCCAACTTCAAGGAGTAGACTGTGACTCCATGCTGCTGCTTATAGCATAGTTTGTTATGTGCTTTCACCCTCTACTTTTGCTCTACAACAACCTTGACTTTCCACCAACTTCCCCCAAGACTTCTTGTTTTGTTGCACAAGATTAGCTAAACCTGACTTCTATAAGATGGGCTACCGCTCTTTTATCCTCCATGCCTCCCAAAAACATTCTCTTCAGAGATGCAGAGCAGAAGAAACATCCAGTGCACTTGATTCCAGAGAAACCTTTTAGTCACATGAATTTATGAGCCACATGTTCTCTGCAGCTCACTTGTAGGTAGCTAGAGGAGACACGGAGGAGCGCTGCTGCAGCTCTCTGTACTGCAGAGAATTAAACGGGATTGGGGAGAGCAGAGGAGAAGCTGTGGTCCAAGGTGACTTTGTGATCAGGTTCCAGAGCGCAGCCCCAAATCCTCAGCCTGGGGTTGTGTGTGCGTCTGTGTGACAGTGAAAGTGTGTACATATAAGAGTGTGCTTGTAATGTATGCATGTGTGCTACTTGTGCACATGTTTATTCCAGTCTGTGCTCTGAATCTGACCATGTTGGGAGAAAGCCACTCGCTCAGCCAGTCAGTGTTGCATACTCTTCTCTTGTGCCATACATTAAAGTGAACACAGTGAACCAAGCTTTGTGCACAAACTCAATAGAACTGAAGTCTAGTATACTGATATTGACGCAGGCTTGTTCGGGGCCTGTGAATACTTGAAATTCCAAAGAATTAGGAAACAGCCTGCAATGCCTTCCTTAATGTAAGGTTTGCGAGCAGAATTAATGCCTGTACTCAAACTGACAACAGATACATTTAAAGAGAAAATAAAGCATGCTGGATTACATTTCTATATCCATTTGACAAGGAAATGTTGTAAATAAATGTATCTGCAAAGTTGCAAAATGTTATTACTGAAGATCTTTTTGTAAACGGGAAGGAAAAATGTAAAATTTAGAATTGGAAGTTTGTGTGAAAAGGAAGTGAAACCATACCACTGGAAGAAAAAAAAAGAAAATGGAAAAAGAAAGAAACGCACTTTGACGTTTAAGTGTTTTGTGTCTGGTGTGATTGAACACCTCCTTCTCAGCCTGGATGACAAACAGGGGGAAGGAAGTCAAAGTGAACATAAAAGAGGGCTGGGGTGAGTGGATGAGGTCGGAGGTGAAGTGGCACTGCGGGGCAGGGTGACGGGGAGTGTGTGGAAGAAAAGGGGATGTGCCCCCCTCCTCTGGTCCGGGCAGCTGTTTGTCTGGCCCAGTTGGAGCTTAGTTCAGACCTCAGAACACGCTCCACTACATCCTAATAGCAGAAACTTCTCTGGAGCCACTCTCCACATTTGTTTTGGAATCACTGATTGAGGGATTTAAATGGGGTCTTTAGAGGCGATCAGGCTTCAGATAAAGATTTCCTGTTGGTTTTCCAGCCCGACACAGTCAACGCCTGTTGCATCCCATTACCTTTTTAGGGGAAATTCAAGACTAAACTGAGCTTTATGAGAAGAAAAAAAAAAACACCTGGTCGTACACATAAAGTGACAGTGTTGAAAAGAACCACCTTCAAATTAAGATCTCCTCGGCTCCAGATCCCTTGTAGGACTATACGAGTTTATATGTATGTTTGCCTGTACAAAAAGAGGCAGAACCCAAAGAGTGGAGAGTATGTCGCTGTGTAAGTCCCCTTGAAAGTGTCCCCTCTTTAAGACCTGTTTAAAAGGGACGCCCCCTCTTTGTGCGCACTGTTCTCTGTGGCGTATGGAGGGGCTTTTGTCCCCCTCTTTCATGTGCTCCCACAATGGCCCAGGCCGTTTGAAACACAACAGTAGATGAACTGCGCTGACAGTGTATTAAACTCTGATGAATTGCCAGTGCGAGGCATAGATCAATGTCCTTCAACCCTCAGCACACAGTGAAGCCGGGCCTTGTCTCGGGTTAAATGGAACAGGTTGCTGGCTCTTTTCAAAAGGGGGTCTGATTATATTCATGTTTTGTTGAAGAAGAAGCCTTTTTAAAATGTGTAAATCTTTGCTCTTCAATAGAGTCCTATTTTTCCTTCTCCTTCTCATTCAGGGAATCTTGTGCTGCTCATTTTGAGAGCATTTTGCAGTCTTGGACAAGCCAAAACACTCTTTTTCTTTCTCTTCAAGCTGACTTTTAAATCTTAAAATAAACCAACCACATTAAACAGAACAGTGCCAGTTTCGCAGCTAACGTGTCTCTGCACCTCTCTAAAAGCACCACAAACATTTGAGATGTATGATGCGGAGGTTATGGGCTCAGATCTGACCTTTAAGTGACTTTTCCCTCTGAAGGGGGCTTAGGGCAGCTTGTTTACACAGATCACAGCTTCGGACACTTAAGAACAACAGGGACGGACCACTGAGCCTCTATGGCATCTCCCACAGGGACCCTCAAATACACCAGTAACATCACTCATGCTAACTGGCACATTCATCACAGGTGGGAGGAGCCAGCTGAGCAACGCATTTTTTAAAAGTTGAAGGGGACAAAAGAAGAAGTTTTAACCCAAGATTTAATCAATTATTTCCTCTTTTCAGGTGTGGTTCAGCAACAGGCGGGCTCGGTGGCGCAAACAAGCTGGAGCCAATCAGCTTGCAGCCTTCAACCACCTGCTTCCTGGAGGATTCCCGCCCACAGGGATGCCAACTTTACCCACATACCAGCTACAAGATTCAGGCTACCCCGGCGCCACATTATCCCAGGGTAAAAACTCACAAAAATATCCCTCTGAAATGTACAATTATCTTTGTACCCTGAGTTTAAATCTGATTTAGGTAAAGATTCCATTAGCCTTATTTATTTGCAGTTAAAACAGCATTAAAAATATATATGAATCATGTGCATCATATAAAACACAAACAGCATTACATTATAATCATATCTTTGTCACAGTGAAGTAAAAACATGCCGTCACTCATTCTCAGTGTGTTGCTGCTCTTTTAATGTATAAAGAGACAGTTTTCATGAAGGACACATAATATTTGACTTATGGCCTTTAGAGGAATGCGCTCGAAGGCAGCTGTTAAGGATGCTTGCTGATATTTTTTCATGTTTTTTTTCTCCTTGATTCGCTCTGTTTATGTTGTTGGTGGTGTCAGAGGGCAGCACATTGCACAGACCCCAGCCCCTGCCTCCATCCTCCATGCACCAGGGAGGTCTGAGCGCTGACAGCGGCGCCGCTTACGGCCTCTCATCCAACCGACACAGCTTCTCCAGCTACTCCGACACCTTCATGAGCCCCTCGGCCTCCAGCAACCACATGAACTCAGTCGGCAACGGCCTCTCCCCACAGGTCAGTGCAGAAGCTTTTACCTCTGTACATGTGCAAGAATCGAAATAATGTTTCCTCATAGGTGGTTTTTCACATTCATCAGTCTACCACCTCCCCCCTCCTCCTACTACTGCTCAGAACATGTAATTGTATTTGACTGGAAATTAAATCAGAAACAGCATGTTCAGCAAACTAACCAGCAGTGTGGGCTTTTATGCTCGCCTTCCAAAGCCTCTGGATTTATTCTAGCTACTCTAAATTGCTACATTTGTAAAACAATTGGATTAACATCAACAAATTAAAATTCATCTTGATAGCACCGCAAGTACTCAAGCTGCTCCAAACAGCCGTTTTTCGACTTTCCTGGGACATCTAAATCCTGCAGAACACATGCAGATGAAATAATTAGCTAAAGCTTATAAATGTAGACCCATAATCTTCTTCACGTAATTGTCTGCAGCTGGAAGACTGCTGTGCTATGTGTGATTTCCTTCTTCATCGCTTTACTGCATAGTTTCCAGGCAGTTCACACAGAGGCGATGTGCTCTTTACATGTGAGGTTTTGTTGTGGAGTTTATTTTTCTCTCCTGTCATAATACACATCGACATTACACATGTTTCACATTTCAGAATAAATCTAAAATAGCTCTTTTACTTTTTCTCCTTCTTGATCTCTAATACAGTATGCGGGGGGTTTTCGTTTCCTCTTGTGAAAAGAGACTGCAGGATTTTGCATGTTAACCTCTTTGGAGTCCTCCATTAATGAGCGTTTAAATGCGACTCTATGCAAAGGGTTGAGCCTTAAGTAGCGCAGAATGAAAAATGATTTGTATTGATGCAAATCGTGTGTACGGACCGAATTATACACAATTACCCATCAATACTGGCCAGTCTTGCCCACCCTCACCAACAAGATGTGGTTAACAGGCAGAAAATAAGATTGAAATGGTGTGTAAAGAGTTGAAAATGAATTTCAATGCTGCATTTGTCCACAATTACCCCGTCGTTCACACGTGTTTTATTGGGAGTTTTTTTTCTCTCCTCCTTCAAATATTTCTCAAAGCAGATTGGAAACATTCTTGGTATTACCCTCTTTCTTTGGAGAAGAAAGAATTAAGGATTTTGTGACAAAAAAGAGATTTTCTCTCCTGCTGCAGCGACGGAGGATAACATGGAGGCTCACAGCGTGTTTGATTGTTAATCGTGGCACAGGGGCTTTAAGTGCTAATGCTCTCACTGCAAACCTGCAGAAAACACCAGGAACATGGAGACGTTTTTTTTTTTTTTCATTAATGGCTCTCTCTAATACTGGCATGGGGTGCTCTGTCGCTTTCTCTCCTTCTCTGCACAGGCATTCAAGAATGTGTTGGGATATTAAACATTTCCTGTCATAGTGGGGATTAGGACAGAGCCTTTGGGCAACTGTACAGCCTTGATTTCTACTATTCAATTACTCTATCAAGTGGGTTTGATTAAAACAAACCTGAAATGCATTTTTATTTTAAATCCATGTTTTCATTGAGAGCTAATATACTGTATTTCGGGTTTTTCCTTTTTTTTGTAAGGGGCATGCATGTGGTGTGGATGTTAAGATGTGTCACACTATGTTTGCAGTCCACAGTATTGAAATGTATTGAATGCATGCAGAATGCTGTGTGGCATTCCTATCAGTCTCTCAGCATGGAGATGAATGTTCCCACTGACAGCAGAATCAGAGTTCACTCTGTGGTGCAGTGTCCTGCTGAGCAGGGCAACCTCCAACTCTCTCTCTCTCTCTCTCTCTCTCTCTCTCTCTCTTTCTCTCTCTGCAAAAACAAACAGACAACACACTATAATCTCCAAGTTAACTATTTCCCAGTCATACTTAATTCATTCTCTGCATTTGAACAAATTTAAATCAACACAAAATAAGTTTCATCTTTGGAAAATGATAAACACAATGCATTTTGCTCTTGGTTTCCCCTCCCTGTACTGGAAAAAAAACATCACAAAGAGACATTCTGTCGAGATGGAAATGAGAATTTGATTTTGTAAGTTACAGACAGCATCTGTTTGCAGCAGATATGTTTGTGCATTGGTATGTGCAAGCAATTCCTCCAAGTGTGTGGCATTGATGGCCTAGCTGTTGCTGTAAAGATTGACAAAAATTCTCTGATTCCCAGTAAATGGGCTGTGGTGGCAAGGTGCCAAGTCTGTAATGGAATCCTGCAGCGTTCAGCGTTCCCCGACAGGAGCTTGCGTCCATCCCAATCCCATAACCTATCCCGACAGCGCACATTTTCCCATTACAGGCCACTGGAAAAGCCATCCGCACTCAAACCAGTGGCTGTCAGTGTGGGAGATTCAGCGTGGTGGGTTGGTTGAGGGAGCGGTGTGTATTAGGTGAGGTGAGAGTGACGCTGTGCATGGCTGGGCAAAAGGTATGAAACCAGAAGTGTGTTTTTTTTGTTGGTCTTGTTTCATTTAGAGGCACAGCAGGTGTTGGAAAGAAGGAAAGGCAAGAGGTATGGAGGAGAGAAATGTCAGGATTTTTACTTGAAGATTTAAGCTTAGGTCTGTTTTTTTTATTATGGTCTTAAAATTCCATTTGAAAAATGCATTTTGGACCTTTAAATGGCCATCATGATGCCTCAAATACGAATTATGCATATGAATTATGCATACTCTTACTTAAAAACAATTTAGCTTAATTAACTTTGGTGGAGTTATGTCTGGAATTTTGCGTCTCTAAACCTGCTAAAAAGGGATGTTCTAAACAGACATTTACATACTTTTCAAATGATTCTTTGAAACGGTGTTTCATTTGTGGGGCGACATTTGGGCTGAAATCCCCATTATTGCATGACAGGGACACCTGCTGGGAGAGGAAAGAAAACAACTGCACTGCCTGGAAAAAGAAGCCATGCAAGAAGAGCTCGGCAGCAGAGCTTGGGTTTCACCCCACAGAGAAATTACTAAAAATAATGACATCAGGGACTGGTAAGGAGAAAAGTCAGTTCTCTTGCAGGGTAAAAGTCAGGAATACTCTGTAGAAGGATGTTAATAGAGTGATAAAGAGGTATGATAGGGTGGATGGAGATTGTATTGCTATTTTGATTAAAGAAGTGTGATGATGATGGAAGTCTACAAAGTTTCATGAGGAACTTTTTTTTCTGTTTTGCAGTTTTATAAAAGTGTTGTGTGTTTTGGAATGACAAGGATGTGTGTATCCGAGGAGGGCCTTTGGGCTGTGTGAGTGGGCCGGGCCTCCACACATCCACACACACACACACACATACACACAGACACACACACGTACACGGGATCAGAGGCAGAGCGGCTCTCACCCCTGCCTCTCTTTGATCTGTGTCCCCAGGCCTGCCTGCCCGCGCGGCGCTGCACCGCACCACGCACGCTGACACCACGCTCACCAGCGACTCCCCACAACTGTCTGACAGAGATAAGCCAGGGGAGACTCCAAACTGTGCTGCTGCTCTTCCATTAGCTCGCACAGACGCTTCTTTTAAAAACGGGATGAATTATTTTTAAGAAGCAAGCTCTGCCGTTGCCAAAAAAAAAAAAAAAAAAAAACGGAGAGGGGAAAATGTACGGAACAATCTGGAGCTCTGGCTTCATTCCGCCTCCCTCCCTGACTTCTAACAAGACATCCTGCACCTGAATACCAATGAGAGGGGGAGATTCGTGTAGTCCCCCACATTATTAAAACTTGGGCATTAAGCCTCTCACCGGGCACTGTGTCAGCTGGCAGGCTCCACTGACAACAAATCAAAGGGGATGAGCACATAGCCTGCATTCACAGCTCCGCCACTCGCAGAGCAAGAGGGGGAATACATACTGGTTAATTAGAACTTCCATTAAAACAAATACTGTTTCAATTTGGCAAGTATAAAAAAAGATGTAAGAGGCTTTCAGAAAAAAGAGACCTGCTGTCGGCAGCTGCCAAGAAAATCCAGGGACTGTAAATCATATCCACTGGCTATACTGTTTCTGCACAGATTATTAGTGTTTCTTGTTGTTTTGCAACACTTTTGAACTCTGAGGAAAGAATCTGCAGCTGTGACACCAGAAATGTACAGCTGCAAAAAACAGTCATTCTGGTGCAGATAGAACATGTATCTGCCTCTGATTCTGCCTAAAATGTGCTATTGGTTAGATGAGCATGTCAGTCAGTGCAAGGACCCGGTACTCAAATCTGTTAGCTGAGGTACATTTTTGTTTGACGATAAACAAACAAACAGAGAGTTAAATGTCCATCTAAGTTAGCTTAATTTTGGCAATCTGTGGTACTACCACACTTATATAATGAGGACTCTAAATCACATGGTACTTAAGTCTAAGTATTGGAATCAGTATCTAGAAAGAAAAGAAGCTATTACACATTTGGAAAAAAGAAGTTTGTAGTGTTATGTTTGCTGCCTTGAATCTGTGCATCCTGATTCATTCTGCAGTTTGCAGAGATTTTTACATGCATGCACTTTGGCTAAGTAAAGTATGATATACATTTAATCACATTTTCTTGTCTGAAATAAAAACAAAAAGTGTTCCTCACAGAGAACGAAGGTCGGAGCTGCAGCTATAAATTTGGTCCTCCTTTACTAACAGCTAAGACAGTACTGCAGCTTATATCCGTCTATATACCTGAGCCATTTGTTGCTCCCTCCATCTTTTTTTCTATGTCTCTTGAGCCCCCCCACTGAAACCATTTTCTTTTCCATTCCAAAATATTTTTGGTCGGCGCTTTATGCATTCATAATCTATTTTTCACCTACCAACCTTCCTTCCCTCCATTTGGCTTTTTGTCATTCCCATGATGCCTTGCCAATCGTTCTTTGCTCTTTCTCTCTCTCTCTCTCTCTCCCTCTCTTTCTCTCGCTCCCCACCTTCCTCTCATGCTCCAACTCTCTCCCCTGGAGAGGAGGCTCTTCTTCCCTACGCCCAGATGAAAGGCTACAGCGGACAATAAAAATGCTATTTAAATGCAAGGGTGTTTGTGTGCGGGTTAGAGATATTTCCTGCTGAAA